ATCTTTCAGAGTTCACAGACCTGAATACTTCTAAAATCAACATAATTCTGTATTTTTCTCTAGTTTTTTTACATGTACTGTATATTATCTTACCTTTAGGAGTGTTCCATTTATGCATTCCGTTTTTTAATAAAATATTTATTTAAAAATGTGAATGCCTCATTTTGTAATATCACAAAATATTACAACATTTTGTAATTAACAAAATTAGACACCACAAGAAGACACTTTTTTTCCAAAGGAAAGAAAACATTTGCAAGCACCTTGCACTTTTTTCCTAAGAGTTTCTTGGAGAAATCAACAAAGCATATTTTGAATTTCAGAAACAATGCAAACATATTCCATTAAAATATAACATCATTATTGCTCTTCTCAAAATATACCACAGTCAATTTACAATAAAAAAGCTTATATTCTGCTGTTATAAAACCTGTTCAATACAATATATTTTAATAGGGGAACAATGGACAGAATCACTGTAAACCTTTATCTATCTTACAGGGTCACACAAAAAGCAAGGATACTGTAGGTGTGTTCAATTCAGATTTCAAATCAGCCAACTTACAGTCAGAGAAGTGAGAAGCTTCTTGGTCCTGTGCGGCTGGTGCAGCTGTGCGTTTGCCGAAGACCTGTGCGTCGAAGCTGGCATAATCAAAGCGGACTTTGCCATACTTGTCAAGATCCTTTGCAATGCTAGCCTGGAGTGTGGTGACGGGCTGTGCAAATCTATAGTTGTACTGAGGAATTTCAAATGGCTTCATCAGTCCTGGGGGCCTACATAAGAATAACCATGTTGTAACTACAGAATTAATGGAAATAAAAAAAAAAGTTTCCATTTATATGATGTATACGATTTATATATTTGATAAAAGTACTGTGTTACCAATTCAGAAAATTAAAAGAAAAGATCTGTAAAAAGCATTTCAACTGAAGTGCTGTTATACAACATGAAACTTAAAGACCTTTACTTAACACTACAACAAACAGTAGACATATGACCCTGATTTAACTCCTACTTTGTTTTTTTCTTGTCTATTTATTTGAAGATTTTGTGAATAATTATCATCTTACAGTTCATCTTTATCAGTTCAAGCATTTAAATACATTTAACATTTAGTTAAATCTAAAAACAAAAAAAAACATATGCTTGTGTGTCTTTTAGCTAAACAAAATTGAAGTTAAGGTGGTTCTTTAATTGCAGGTGTTTTAATAATTAAACATGTTTTCTGATGATTTCTACAGCTTTCCTTGTTAAGCGTAGCTCTTTTGTATGCAGTGAGATTTTTACATGGCCATTTTAAATCCTGATTTAATTAACAGAGCTCCCACATAAGGGGCTCTGGCTAAGTTTCAAAATGAGGTATCTCAGGTGATATATACAAAGGAAGAACACTGCCATATTGGTATCACAAAAGCTCCCATAAGACCATAGCACAATCAGTCCTTGGATATTTGCTGATTTCCCCAGCAGATTTCTAATTGAGGGTGATAACTTTTTAGCACAGATAACAACGTGTGATGAAACATGGGTCTACCAATACTAACCAGAGAACAAATGTGAAAGCAAGAACTGGAAGCATCCAAATTCACTACTTACTGTATGTTGAAGTTCCCAATTTTCAGTGGAAACAGTCATAATTACTGTCTTTGGTTGTGATTGTAATGTAGCTGTGCAGGAATGCATACTCATATGGCTATGACTATGGGGGCTATCAAATTAATTATTTGTGGCAGGAATACAAATATTCGTAAGGAGAATAAGAAGAAAGCTGAAAGCCATCAAAAGCACAACATGCATTTAATTCCCTAATTATTGATTATGCAGAGTGACAATGACTATTCACTTTCTGTATTTGTGCTCTGATTTATCTCCTTAATGCATAATGACAAAAAAACATGACAACATGTGTCTGGTAAGTCACATATGTTTGGGATTAGTATAAACAAATATGTATGCACATGAAACAGACACACAGGTTCACTGGATTCAACCATAAGGTGCCATAGCTCTTTGAAAAAGAAAAGAAATGCCCAAAAGAAATGGCTCTGGCAGAATTAAGATAATATTAAGTCTGTAGGGCATTCAGTATTCATCCATTAACTATCACAACAATCCAGCAGTGGTACCAACTGAAAGTACTTATGATCAGCTCAGGAAGCGCCTGTGATTGATCCACACCAAGCTAATTCTTTGTAATTGCTTTGGGTTTGAATAAAACATTCAAACAACAGACGGATCTTACAACACTTCAGCTGGAGAATTATTTTTAAATGATGAAATGATGTCATAGCAAAATTCCAAACTATATCCATCCTAATGTTTTACCTTGAATCTGAGGGTTTACAGAATAAGTAATAACTTGTATTACTTGATTTTATGTGTATATAAACTATAAGGAATGTCATTTTAAGTTAATGTACAGGTTTTACTTTTCAGTTAACATATTTTTGTAGGAGGGTGGTTTTGATGCCAGATCCATGCATTTCCTTCTCTCAAGATGCAATTCATACATTTTCAAATACTGTTAATTCAATTCTGCACACGGTTATTGTTAAAGTTAGTGTGGGTTGTTGAATGAGTCTCATTCCATAACATTATTTAGAATATTGTTTTAAAGCACCATGTAAGAATATTTTAATTATTGAATAACATCAAAGGATTTTTTTTAAGTAAATCTAGAAGTACAGAGATTCATTTGCCAGAGCTATATTTAGCTTGTGTTTCATAATGTTGCTTGAAGGCATCCAAATACATACTGTACATATCATCTGCCCTTTTAGATGTTAAAAGCAAGCAGAATATACAGTATGAAAGAGAGGGGTGCATGCTCCCCATTGAACTTACAGTATTTTTTTACAAATTTAATTTTTAACTTTAGTGACATCATTACATTATGTAATAGTATGATAACATTAATATTTAGGAATGTGTCTCACATCTCTGTAGGAGAAACTTTTACAATATGTTCTTTCCTTAACATTCTCGATTTATTGGTTGCAGATGTCTTGACATGAATTAAAATCTGACAAATCCTCATTTAATTTGTGAATTTACATTAATTCTCCAGCTTCTACAAGTGGAAAGCTGAAAACTTGTGAACTCACTTCCTGTAACCGGTGGCTACACACACTTAGAACAGAAAATTATTTGGCCATACCTGGACAACCTGTCAGCAATTTGTCCAGATTTTTGACTTTCCTCCTGAGGTTTTGTTATTTTCCCAGCTGCAGCAATAGGGCAGCCTGAAAGGCTGTAAAAGAATATAATAATATGAAGTACAGAAAAAAATCTTTATAAACAGTATACAACACACATATAATTGAAGGATTGTGACAGCAATGAAAATTAATGGCCAAAACATTAACATTAATTTTAACACTTCATAAATCCATAAATTACAAAATACATTGGTACATTTTGGTGAAATAAAGGAATGTATATTTAGAAATATATGTTATATTGTAGCTACCTGTAATGTGTACTAAAAATTAATTCACACTATCGAAACAATTTGCATATGACAGTTCAATCAACAAGGAGATAGTTTCGATTGAACACACCTTTGGCTGCGAACATAAAGTTACTCAAGTTAACAGTCTGAGAAGCTGCCTCACTGGGCATGTCTGTGTGGAAGAGAGAGGTAAGTCTGCCGAGTTGGCTTCTGTTAAAAAAGTAAGCAATATGCTTCTTATCTCTTAAACTGCACTATAATCGTGTTTTAATCTTCCTTGGAAAATATAAATATTTTAAATTGTACATTGCTGCTAATGTCATCAGATCTACAACTTTATGTCTGGATAATCCTTCATAAACTGCTTGTCCTATTTTTTTTTTATAAATGTCTCAAAGCTCTCTGTCCTAACACCAGCCAGTAAGAGCTCTCTTCTGTCTCCTAGCGCCACAGCAGAGTGCTCTTTTTATTGACTGTAGCCATGTCATTTTAACTGAGACTTCAGTTCATGTGAATGGTACTAACCTTGCCCCCCTGCCCCATTCCCTTGCCTTTTCTTTCAGAAGGTGTGCAGGGGAAGAAAGAAAGCAGCTCTGATTTCATTACTAGTGTCCATAAAAAAAAATAGTATGTTGTCCAAAAATTGCTAGATCGGCAAACTGCCAGTGTCGGAAAATATGATGCAGTTGACAGCAAAACCAGATTTAAAATACTGTTGATATATTTTTAAATATATTTCTGTTTCCTTAAAAGTAAAAAGTGATACCTTCTACAGATAGTAACCTACATGTGGTCTATAAAATGTAACAACTTGAACTTTTACTGTAATTGTTAGTTATGGCAGATTTTAAGTGTACTGTTGCCCTCTAGGCATCAAATTTAATTGAAGATTTAACGGATTGGCACTTAACATGCATTTTGAACTAGATGGGATGGAAATGCAGTTAATACATATACATTAAATCAAACATAATTCGTAATTAAAGACAGCACATTGCCAAAAAAGCTCTATGTGGCTCTGTGAATGACCTACCTCCTATGTGTGCTACGGTTGCTGTTGACGTGACCCCTTCCTGTGCATCCTGGTGTTGGGCACTTAAGGACATTTTCATGCATGGCAAGAACTAAAGAGAGAGAGAGAGATAATTATATTATTATTTTTATTATTATTATAAAATTAATACTAATTTATCAGCAGGCACTGATTTTTACAACAAAGTGGAAGTGCGGAACCAAGCATAAAAAAATCCTCGAAAATCCCCGATGATTATCTGTCTGTTGCAAAATTACTATGGTTCTTGGAAAATGTTATAATTGGTCTATAGACAATATCTTCTAAGATGCTTACTCTTTTAATTTCTTACGAAATAATTTCTCTAAGATGAATAAATAATTGAATAAAAAAGTTGTAAGGTACTAATACGTGTTGAAGAAGTTCAAGTAAGTAGCTGTGTCAACATGTGTAGGCTGCGAAAGAACAAGTTAAGACTTATTCCACGCTAAAAGGAAAAGAAAAGAGACTCAACGTTTTGGCTGTGGAGCCTTCTTTGGGTCACAGCTGAAACATTGCGTCTCTTTTCTTTTTCTTTCAGCATGGAATAAAACTTTACCTGTCCGATTATTATATGATTAATCCAAAAACAACAGCAAGCATTCATTTTCTGCCAAGTGAAAGAGTACAAAGATGAGAGGTTTAGAGCAGTCTAATGCACTGCACTAAGTGATTTAACTCTGAATACTGAATATAACAGGTTTGCCTCAAGAATTAACCAAATGTGAAGGATTGACAGGACACCACTTATTCATGCCACCCACTTGTAGAAGTACAGTGAAACAGGCTCCATGTTTGCATAATTCTGACATGATAATATGAACTGAAAAAACTACTTTATTAGGGTGAGTTCTATTTCTGTTTTTAGAAGTAGAAGATTTGTTTGGAGCAAACACATTAACTGAAGACTGTCAAGTCCATCTGTAGTAGAAGTACACATGGTATCAAAAGCACCTGTCCTCAGTCTGATATTTTTAAATTTTAAAGAACATGACCAAGACAATCATTCTAAACTACTACATATTAACATAATTATCCAATACTGTTACCCTTTAAAGATGTAGGCTTTATATCCAAAATACACAAGTGCAATATGTACTGTATTTATGTCTCTGCTCTGTTATGTCTGCATACGACAACCTCTGGGATGCAATATTGTGTATGCAATCCATGTATAATCTGGAAAACTGGCCAAAAACAAATGGGCTGGTTTAGGTTAAGTTGTTTTATTGCAGGCTTCATATGTACCTTTAGGAAAGTTAGTCATTTGGAACAGGGACTAGAATGTTGCAGATGAGGCCATTTCCTGGGACAGTATTTAAAATAACAAAAA